GAAAAACAAAATAAATCCTGACAAATTACTGGTAACTGTAGAATCTTTTGTTACTCTATTAGTTTATAATAGTAATTTAGAAATCCTACAATTAACGTCCTACAAGAGGTCTCTGATTATTTTTTTTCCATGTGTCATCTGAAGCAATTCAGCAGTGAATGATGTTCTTTAACTTGCACTGATTTTACACAAATATTTTTTTGAAGAAAAATGTAGGAAGAATTCTCCAAGAGCTGTACAATGGTAGTTGTTCTTCTTCAATGGCTTTAGACATAGTATCACTAAAAATATGAGATTCCTAATTTCTTCCCATTGATATTTAAACATTTTGTGTTACCTTTCCCACTCTTTTCAATTTTTGGCCACGTTTATTCGTTATATTCACTGAGACCAATGGGAACAGGCCGCAATTAAAAGGTGTTTGCACACAGGCAGGAGTTTCAATCAGTAAAACCAGTTAAATACCACCCAGATCCCGGCCAGGAGAGGATACCAGAGGGAGAGAAAAGCAGGAAAATGGGACTTGTGGAGTTCAGAGGAGAATGCTGCTAGGCTTGTAGCAAAATACACAGGCAAAAATTAAAAACTGCAGGCTAATCCCTGAAGGTGGTGCTCGGAATACTGCATGGATTCAAACACTCTCAGGGCACCAGCCCCACAATGAAACACCAACATCTCCAATTATTCCTAATCCCCCAAAAGCTACACTTGATAAAGAACAATCAAGAGTGTAATCTTATTTGATATGAGTTTTATCAATTTTAGCTGCTGCTTTCACTGTATCAATAAAATTCCACCGAAACTTGAATGAACTGTAAAATTAAAGGATAATCACACAAGTCTCTTGTATTTGGCAATTATGATTATACTTGTCAAAATTTAATTTGTAGAATGTACTGTTCCAGTACCTTCAGGTTCTTCTTTATCAACTGGGAAAAAAGGAAAATTATATCTTTAAGACAAGTATGAAAGACATTGTTACTTCCACAGTCAACTCTGTAACTGAGCTCCGACATTGTATAATTGACTTTGCAAGCAGAACAACAGCAATATAACAAAGAAAATGTCAGTGTTTTCACAGCGCTAATCTATAGCACTAGGAGGGCCTCCTGCTGTCAGCCAGAGCTGACAATACAATAGCTTTCAAAGGGATATTACCATCATGCTTTTATTCTTGACATCAATCAAGACAAAGAGAATCCTTTTCACAAGACTTTCAAAATCAAACCTTTGTATGAGCAGATAGGTAAAACAGCATTCCTTTAAAGAAGATCATTCATAGCAATCAACTAATTGGAACTCAGCAAATGGTTGAAGTATTTTTATTTACTTTGCAGATAATGAAGTAATGAGCAACCCCCCTTTTCTCTTCTTGACTGACACAAATGAGGCAGGTAGGGTGTGAATCAAAAGTTTCTATCAGCATTTTTTGCCAACAGAAAGCAAAAAAATATGACAGCGATTCTGCAACTTCAAGTAGGATAACAAATCTAGAGTTAATTAGTGCATTCTTTTGCAAAACAGTTTGATTACCAGCTAGCATGTTTATGCACAAAATACCCCCACAAGCTGACAGCAATTTGCAGAACTGTCAAATTCAGCAGCCAAAGTGCATCTGATGCTTAAAACCTTGTGCCAGCGCAAGCCCAGTCCCACAAATGGAATCCAGTAATGCCTCAATAACCATTACATGGGACTGGAAATCCACTGGAAATGCTGTTACCCGCATCCCAGCACTGCGCCTTCCAGAACCACCCCCAAGCGTGAGAAGCTGCAGTTTGACCAAGGGGAAGAAGGAAGACCTGCCCTCCTCAGCCCCCTGAGCGGACTGGGTGACCCCGCTCCAGCGCCAAACAAGCTTTTAAGGACACCGGTGTTAATATCAGCACCCATCAGCTGTAATGGGGGACAAGACAGAGTGTTTTGACACTGACAGCTGTGTTATGTTCTGGGGTTCAGGTCCACGTGGTTTTAACAATACTGAGTAAGGTATAACTTTTCCTTACAGAGAGATGGAAAAGCTCTCAGCAGTTGAGGTTACTGGCAACAGGGCAAGAGTCTGTGCTGAGGAAAATTACTTTCATGGGCTTCATCTCTGATGTGAAGTAAAGCTTCAGAAAGCATTTTACTCCACCACTACCACCACCACACTGTCCCCTAAGTGTTTATTTTGCAAACTAGCAAATATTCAATACTCACGCGTTTATTCCGTTCTAATTGACATGAGACCACCTTCCTTTAAGCCAACATTGTCCCCAACCACAGCTATAAGGTTAGTGTCTTCAACTTTGCACAAACCAATGGTCAAAACAAATCAGTGAATTGTATTGCAAATCATAAATTCCATGTCAGGGGGAAGCCCAGGGCTACTGCTGGAGTTTCAGCTATAGGAATTACTGTAAATTTCTGCCAGGCTGAACCTGAGACCTGATAATATAGCACAGGGGGCACCTGACCTGCAGCTGTGCTGGCATCCACTTTGGGTTTGCTATCACTTCATTTTCAATAACGCACATCTAAGACTTGTCAACATTCGATACTTCTGTCAAAGTCAATCACTTCTTTAAAGTCAGCATCGCTCCCACTTAAAGTGCAGTTTGCATGCAGAATAATCCCTTTCATCACAGGCACAGACTGATCCTATTTTAGGGCATAATCTTTCTGAATGAGAAAGGATACACAAATCTTGTAGTGGTTAATAAATAGCAAAGCTGCTATAACAAGTGAAATAAAAGATGGAAATGAGAAAAATGTTACATTATTTTAAGTCCTAAATGCCACACATATATCCACGTAATTTATGCTTGTTTTCTTCTCGGTTGAATTGGGAAACCTATGACCTCAGAGTGCCTTTATTTATTACATCTCAATTATTTCCATGGAAACATGTACTGTGGCAATCTACTGGGTTGCCAGCTCCCTAGACCACAAAATGTATACAACAGACTTTTTACAAGCAGAAGACATGGGTGAACAGAAAGAAATTAAGAATTTCTTTATCCTACATGCACATATGAGCTGCCTCCTATTATTCAGAATTTCACCCAGATTCAGCTCATTCTTAGACTCCCCATTAGACAGCTCAAGCTAAGACCTGTAATTTACATCCAGTTTATGCTGAAGATGGAAACAACATTTTGTTGTGCCTAGAGACATCAGAAATATTTAGAATCTTTAAAAACTGGCCTTCACCCAGCTCACTGTTGCAAAGACCTTCTAGATATTTCTACATTACAGGGATAATGTTTCTCAGCTATGACTTGCCAGTAAGCTACCTGCTTCAATTCATAAAAGTGATCATGTAAATAGTGATCAGTTCTATATCAGAATTAAAGTCAAATTTTCGTTATAAAGTATCAACCACTTGCAAGAGATACTGCTGCCTAAAAGTAATGAGGAAGAAAACAAAAGAGTAATAAATGGTAAATATCTAATATTGTATGTCAGAAGATGTCAAGGTTTACTAACTGAGCTTCTAGAGCAAACATTGTTTGCACTGGCATAGAACTATTTCCTGAATGTTAAATGTGACATTTTAGCACAGGAAAATATTTTAAACTCCAGAGGCCTGGCCACTAAATGTGATCTCCTCATCTGGGAGAAGTCATGACCCAAGGCCTGCTCCACTGTTCTCAAACTGTGATTCTTTTCGTTTCAAACAATATCTTTCAGAGCATCCCCTAGAAATAGCTCTATCTCTGCCCTTTCTTCTGCCCGGAGACTGTAGCATTCATCTACCAATTACTGAAGTAGCTCCTTTAGCAGATTGTCCGGGATTGTGGAGGGTCACAATGCCATGCTGCAAACCTGCCCCACAGCACAATGCCAAAAGGTGCTCTTAATTTTGGGAAAAATGATTAAGTGGGTTGTACAAATATGAAGGTCCGACTTTACAAAAACTTGAGAAACATTTGAAGCACATACAACTTACATTGCAATCATCTATTAGAGAATTAATATGTCACAAATAATATAAAATGGCCCTGGACGGGGTTTCAATTTGTTCTTCAGCTGGTCGATTAATTGCACGCTAATTTTGTTCACTCACGAGTTATTTAATTACAAAAGCTTTGGATTTTTTGTTTCATCTTCTGGGCATCCAAAGTTCTGATCCTTTTGTGCTTCTACAACAAAGCCTCCAGTCCTCTGAGTTTGCGACTTTTGCTTTGTGCAGAGGACAATAAAACCTTCCCCAACATCGGCTAACCTCCTCGTGGCTGGGAGCGAAAGGCTTCGGGAATCACGCTTTCTCTCTCGCACCCATTCACTTAAAACTCAAAAAGCTGGCAAGGCGTGCAGTACGGCGCGGGGCTGGTCCCGGCCCTCCCTTTACGTTTCTCCAGCAGCTGTTTTCTTATGGAGGTAAATAGAAGATTTTAAACGCCGCTTCGCTGGGCATGGAGAAGAATACGCGTAGTTTAATGTCTAACCTTTACTCATAAAGCCGTTACTAAATTTGGCCATTGTTTCTTCAAGCTCAAGCAAATTCTCGACCCCTATCTATCAAATCGGGTTTAATTCTCCCCTTCTTTCACCACCCTTGCGCGCATTGGACAGAAGGAGCAAACAGACGGCGCTACTATTCCCAATCATAAAGGAACATTAATTTCGGTCTAACCGGCTAAAACACGAGTGAGCTCATTCCTCCCTTCCCCGGCCCGCCGATGCGCCACCGCACCCGAGCATCACCACGAAACTTTCCTCCCTCCCCGCCTCAACGATGCCACCGGCTTCTTTCATCAATTATCGCGACACGTGTCGCCGGCACCGCGGTACCACAGAGCCCCGGAACGGGCGGCGGGCGGGCGGATGCTCCGCGTGGGGAGACGCCGTCGGTTCCGGGGGGGTCTCCGCCACCACCAGCCCGTACCGGGGGGGGATTCGCAATCCCCGCCAAGCCGGGCCCCGGTCCTGATTGGCCGCGTCGCGGCGGCGGAGGCGGCGGCGGCTGCCCGGGGCCGGGCGGCGGCGGCGGCGGGGGCCGGCGGAGGATGCCTTACCTTTCACCGAGCGGGGCTTGGCTTGCTTCCTCCTGGACATGTCCGGGCGCCGTGGCTTGTCCTCCTCCTCCTCGTCTTCCTCCTGTCCCTTCCTTCTCTTCCTCTCCCTGCCTTCTCTCTCGCCCCCCCGCCCCCCGCACCTCCAAACTTTGCGAGGCGAAGCGGCAGCAGCGGGATCGATTATTTGATTTTCTCACTTCTTTCGCCTGTTGCAATGCGGCAAGTTCAACTCCTCTTTCCACCCTCTCGGGCACCTTCCCCCGGGGAAAAAGGAAAAAAAAGAAAAAAAAAAAAAAGAAAAAAAAACAAAAAGAAAAAAATCGAGGGTGCAACAGTTGCAATATTTTTTTTCCTTCTTGTTTTGTTTTTTTTTGTTTGTTTGGGTTTTTAGGGTTTTTTTGTTCCTTCCTTCCCTCCCCCTCCCTTGGATGTGCAAATTCTACCGACGCAAAGCGAGCCCGGCCCGCGCCCCCACCCGCCTTTTTGTTCCCTTTAAAGTTTGCAGGCGCCCTGCGGCTCAGTCCGGCTCGTACTTTCGGAATAATAAAATTCTTTT